GCGAGGACAGCGCCTGTGAGCACCAGGCACCCATGGCCTGGGACTGCCAGCACCAGCAGCTTGGGGTCTCAGGGGCACCTGGAAGGACACAGCTGGACCAGAATCACGGGAACTTGGAATTCAGCAACACTCTTCCTTGCTGTGTGAGAGGACACCAAACATGGCACCAGCACACCTGCATTTTCCCGTCTGACAACACCTGAAGCAGACGGAGTCAGAGACCAGAGTCTATCCCTACACTTGTGCAGCTGAATGAGTTCATGTGTGTCAAATATTCTCCTTATTTAAATCACACAGACTTAAGACAACATGAGTTTAAAATGCAGTATTTCCTATGACCACCTCATACCTGGTGCCCAGAGAGCAGCACTGGGGCTGGAGTGGTGTGGCACACCCAGCAGCCACTGCCACCCGCGTCCCCTGCTGTCCACATGTGGCTCACATGTGTGCTCATGTTGGGGAGGCCACAAGAGCCAGCTTGTTGCAGCCTCTAACTAAAGCCATAGGAGGGGACTGGAATTTCCTCACAACATTCTTGGCCCAGTGCCTGAAGCCATAATTACTGTTCCCATGGCAAAGATCCTGGCTTCGCCACAAATCACTTCTCTGCACTCAGCCTCTATCACACTCCAGCAAAGCCTGTTTTAAAAATTAACTTCTCCAGCACCACAGAACTGCACTTTTGGTTTCTGGAAGTGAAGTCTTTCAAGCAGAGCCTGACTTAACCAAAAAACTATAGGATGATTCACCACCTAAATTATGCTGAGACTTTTCCAATCACCAAAACACAATTTCACTTAAATAACGATGAGCTACCACAGTTCATCCTCTCTCCACTCAGTCTGTCCTGCCCAGAGACCGTTAAGAGTCTGAGGGAGCAGTGATATCCAGGGAAATTAAACACAGGGCGAGGAGATACAGAGAGGAACCTCCACCAGACTACTTGGAACAGGCAACTGCAGGGTCAGAGCCCACAGTGCCTCCATCTTAGGGCCACACTTCCTTCCTTTTCAGACTGCAATGAGGTTATGGGAAGAAATAAGCCTTAAATCATGTGTTTCCAATCTGCAGGACATTCCAGAGGGCTGTGCATTAGGAGTCCCACACCGGAATGGCAATGAGCTTCCTAAATCCACACACCTCAAACTGAGGAGCCAGGAATGGCTACTGCAATTACACCCCATTAAAAACAAGACCATGGGGCACTACAGTGCTCAGAGGAGTGAGCCATGAGGGCATCTGGGGACTTCTCAAGTTAAAGAAACTCAATTTAATTAAGACATCGGAAAAATTAATAAGTGGGTGTGGATACTCTTAATATGCAAATCAAGGATGTGAGAAAATCAAACAAAATATGCCAGCAGCTGCCTTTTAAAGCAATAGAGCAAACAGATAAACACTGACTTCACAAAGTCCTCAGCTTCCAAACTGGATTCAGCCCTCCCAGCAGGAAGACACCGAGAGGCCACTGGGGGTTAGCTCTGACACGTTGCTCCTGCTTGTCTGGGAGTTCTCCAGCTTTGGGACGTTCCAGTCACAACACCAGAACATTCACAGGGTTACTGGTGTCTCAGGGGCATGTCACCAAGTATGCCAGGGCAGCTGCCCTGCGTGCCAAGCGGAGGATGCAGGACAGGAGAGGCTTCTCTGTGCTCCAGCTGTGCACAAACACCACTCCAACGCCCCTGAGCAAATCCAGGACAGGTTACACCCCAGCAGTAAAGGCACTTTATTACAGGAGCTACACTGGCATATTCCATGACTTGGTTAAACACACTCAGGTAACATGGCTACAGCAAAAATAACTTTACACTTACCTTCACCAGGACCATTTCACCTTCCCTGTTGCTTCTGCCACTCTTTAAACTATGATCCAACAGTCCTGAGCCATGTGAGCCATCAGACTGCCCTCACTAGTGACTGCAATCCCCCCAGACAGGAGTGACAAGGCAGGCAGTCCCACATCCTGAACTGCTGAGACACACCAAGCACTTCTATAACAGTTTCAGAATCCTCTTGGTCAAGTTTCGTTATGTGAAACCAATTCTTAAAGCTACAAATTAGACCTTATTAAAACACACTGAGGGACCCTGGACCTGCAGATGCTGAATCAAACTGCTCTACAGTGTCAAGGGATCACCTGGTCCACCTTTGGTAACAGCTATGAACTATTAAACCAACCTTATCATCCAGGCTCAAGCCTCGTCCTCCTCGCATCCGACGGCAGAGTGAGCTCCATGCAGCAGGCAGGATTCTCACCCAGAACCAGACCCTACCATTAATTCAAATTTCAGATCCCTGGATAAGGAAGAGTTGGAGCAACCTTCCCCTACAGTTGTCAGAGGCCCTTCATGAATGTAACACCTCTCAGACCCCTAAAACACTACCAGGCTGACTGTGCTCAGCTGCAGTCACAGCTCATTTTGTACTTCCAACACAAAAACCTCTTTGCTGGCTAGTAGCAAGTTCTGCCCCATGCTGCCACCCCATTCTGTGGGGCTGCCAGGGCTCACCCTCACCAGCTCTGCCCCACATCAGCCCTCTTGCAGGCCAAGGCCTCCCCAGCCCACCCGAGTGGTCCCTGACGCAGGCGATCGCCGTTGGAAACCCTTGGTGCTCCATCCCAAGGACAAAGCTCACACACACACTGTCCAGAGAAGAGCTCACTGCAGTCCTGCCCCCAAGCCAAGCCCAGCCCTGTGGCCCGGGGAGCAGTGCAGCCTGCCCTGCACACCCTGGTTCAGCA